CAGCAGGCGGCGCAGGTACCTGTGTCCAGCCGGGGCGACATATCTTTGGGGCAGGAGGCCCTGGAGGTCCGTCTCGCGGGAGCCTCGTTGGTGGTGGGGTCGCCGGAGGTGCTAGGCAGGCGTCAGGGGCAGGTGGCCCCTGACCCTCTAGTACCGACGGCGGTCCTGCAGGTGGAGCGCACGGCTGCTACGGCGTCGGCTGGGGGGGTCGGACTAGGGCAGGAGGCCCTGGTGCCAACTCCGTCAGGCATCTCCACATCTCCTACGCGGTCCCCCTCTCCCAGACCTACTCCGGGAGCCGCTACTCGGGAGGAGGTGATCGCGTTCGGAGGGATCCGAGACCCTGCTTCCGAGGGGAGGCGGACGAGCTCTCGTCTCCAGGACCTTCCGGAGGTTGATGATTTGCAGCAGAGGTGCGCTATGCGGGCGGCCAAGCTGCGTGATGTGGAGAGCACAACAGGTATGTCAGTTAATGTTTCAAATTCTATTCTGCATTTCTCTAAGGATGAGATTATTAATAATGCAAACCAAGTGGGGGTGTCTCTTGGAAATAATAATTTGGAAATTGAAAACTCGGTTAATGATCTTTTAGATTTGGAAGCGGAACGGGCCTTGGAGTCTATTAGAAACCTAGCGGCTGTAAAACCTTTGAATGATGCGGAGATTGAGGCCTTGGGTGTTAGGGTGCTTGATAAATTCTGCGCGGATCTTGTTCCTCCGTCTGCGGAGCCTGATGAGGATGAACTCCAGGTAGATGATGCAGCTCATGTTCAACCAGAGCACGGTTATGAGGACCGGGCTACAGGTGATAACATTCCTAAACGTAAGTGGAAGCGGAAGGTGTACCCTGCATCCGCGGTACGCAGGAGTGCTAGAATTCGTAAGGCCAAAAAATTCCATGATGACCTATGAAAGGAATATTCTGGAATAGCAGAGGTCTTAAGGACTTGGCTAAACGTAGGTTTCTAGCGGAGGCATCTTTAGAGCACCGTTTAGATTTCATTGCTCTCTCTGAAACTGGTAGGGATAATTTTGCACCTCAGTTTCTTAACACGTTGTCGGGAGGGGTGGAATTCGATTGGCATTGTCTTCCTCCAAGAGGGAGGTCTGGGGGCATCTTGCTGGGTGTGAGATGTGATTCCCTTGAAGTCCGGAGTGTTGTTATGGGTGACTTTGCAGTGAAATTCAGAGTCAGGTCCAAAATAGATGGGTTTAACTGGGTGTTGGTGGCGGTCTACGGGGCTGCACAACCTGAGCTTAAACCTGAATTTTTGGCTGACCTGGTTCGAATTTGTGGGTCCGAACAACTCCCTATCCTGGTTGGGGGGGACTTCAACATTATTAGGAGGCGGGATGAAAAGAATAACGATAATTTTGATGGGCAATGGTCCTTTATGTTTAATACCATCATTGAGAGTTTGGATTTGAGAGAAATCGAACTCTCTGGTAGACAATTTACCTGGGCTAACTCTTTACCAAACCCGACATATGAGAAGTTGGATCGGGTTCTTGCAAGTGCCGAATGGGAGCAGAAGTTCCCTCTGGTCACGGTGCAGGCTCTAACGCGAGGAATTTCGGACCACACACCGCTATTTGTTGACTCAGGGGAGCCAAGGCATGTGGGAAACAAGAATACTTTCTCCTTTGAAACGACATGGTTTGAAAGAGAAGGTTTCTTGGATATTGTTGCCAGAGAGTGGGCTAGAGAGTCTAGGGGTAGATCGCCTGTCGAGAGATGGCAGAATAAGATTAGGCATTTGAGGTGCTTTCTTCGAGGTTGGGCTAAACATCTAAGTGGAGTTTATAAGGTTGAGAAAGACAGACTCCTGGAGATTATTCAATACCTAGATGTTAAAGCTGAATCAGCGGTTCTTCAATCTGCGGATATGTGCTGTAAGATTGATGCGGAAAAGAGGTTGAAGGAACTTCTCCGCGAAGAAGAGCTGAAGTGGGCGCTCAGAGCAAAGGTTCGCAAAGTAATCCAAGGGGATGCGAACACTCAATTCTTTCATCTGATTGCGAATGGCAAACACAGAAAGAAAAAAAAATATCAGCTCGAGCAAGATGAAGGCACAATTGTTGGTCACGATAATCTTAAGCTATACATCACCGAATACTACAAGCAGTTATTTGGACCGCCGGAGGATAGCGCTGTGTCCCTCGATGAGTCCAGGACTGAGGATGTGCCTCAATTAACTGCTGCTGATAATGACATGCTAGTTGCGCCGTTTACGGAAAAGGAGGTTTTCGATGCCATCTCTCAGATGGAGAACAATAAGGCTCCCGGGCCGGATGGGTTCCCGGCGGAGTTTTACAAAAGATGTTGGCATATCATCAAAGGGGATCTGCTACCCATGTTCCACGACCTTTTTGCTGGACGGCTTCAACTTTTTCATTTGAACTTTGGAACGATAACGTTGCTTCCAAAGAAGACCGACGCTCTCAGGATTGAGCAGTTCCGTCCTATCTGCCTCTTGAATGTCAGTTTCAAAATTTTTACCAAGGTTGGGACTAATAGGCTCACACAGATTGCGCATTCTGTGGTGCAGCAATCCCAAACAGCTTTCATGCCAGACAGAAACATCCTTGAAGGGGTGGTGGTGTTGCATGAAACGCTCCAGGAAATTCACTCTAAGAAACTTGATGGAGTCATCTTTAAAGTAGATTTTGAGAAAGCGTATGACAAAGTTAAATGGCCTTTTCTGCAACAAGCTTTGCGTATGAAAGGTTTCCACGAGGGCTGGAGGAGCCAGATTGAAACTTTTACGCAAAAGGGTAGTGTTGGCATAAAAGTGAATGACGATGTCGGTCATTACTTCCAGACACATAAGGGCCTGCGGCAGGGAGATCCGATGTCCCCTATTCTATTCAACATAGTAGCCGATATGTTGGCGGTGTTGTTAGGGAGAGCCAAGGAAGTTGGCCAAATAGGGGGCTTGGTGCCACACTTAATGGATGGGGGTATATCCATCCTGCAATACGCTGATGACACTATCATCTTCATGGAGCATGACTTGGTAAAAGCTAGAAATCTGAAGCTGCTGCTTTGTTTGTTTGAGCAGCTAAGTGGGCTCAAAATTAACTTCCACAAAAGTGAGTTGTTCTGCTTTGGGAGAGCCAAAGAGGAACAAGAGGATTACAAGCAGTTGTTCGGATGTGGTTTGGGTGAGCTGCCTTTTACCTACTTAGGAATTCCTATTCATCACCGCAAGCTCACGAATAATGAATGAAAGTGTATTGAGGATCGTTTCGAGAAGAAGCTAAGTTGTTGGAAGGGCAAGCTCATGTCGTATGGAGGCCGTTTAATTCTTATTAATTCGGTGCTCACGAGCATGCCCATGTTCCTTTTGTCCTTCTTTGAAGTCCCAGTTGGAGTTAGGAAACGACTGGACTTCTATCGATCGAGGTTCTTTTGGCAGGGGGATGAGCCTAAGAGAAAATATCGGTTAGCGAAGTGGGATATCATTTGTAGACCGAAAGACCAAGGGGGTATGGGGATTGAGAATCTCGAAGTCAAGAACCGGTGCCTTCTTAGTAAGTGGTTGTGGAAGTTATCCTCAGGAACTGACGCCATGTGGGCTCAAATCCTGCGTAACAAGTATCTCCAAACCAAAACTTTGGCTCAGGTGTCGGTTAGACCAACTGATTCACCCTTTTGGAAAGGGCTTATGAAAGTGAAGCTTTCATTTTTTCAGAGGTCAAAGCATTTAGTTGGTAATGGTGCAAGCACGAGATTCTGGGAGGATACTTGGCTTGGAGAGGCTCCCCTAGCAATCCAGTATCCGTCTCTGTATCGTATAGTTCGAAGGCGCGATGCTTTGGTTGCATCGGTCTTCGCCTCGATACCCCTGGATATCCAGTTTAGAAGATCGTTAGTGGGCAATCGTTGGGAAGAGTGGCTGCATCTAGTTAGGAGACTGATGCAGGTACAACTATCTCAACAACCTGATAAATTACGCTGGAATCTCACTAGGTCGGGGGGATTCACGGTTAAATCAATGTATGTTGATGTTATTAATTCCAGCTCGATTCCTACTTCAAAGCATGTGTGGGACGTCAGAGTTCCTTTAAAGATCAAGGTGTTTATGTGGTTTCTACATAAACAGGTGATCTTAACAAAGGATAATCTTATTAAGCGTAATTGGACAGGACCTACTAGGTGTAGTTTCTGTGATCAGGGTGAAACCATTAAACATCTTTTCTTTGACTGCCCACTAGCTAGAATTCTTTGGACGACTATTCAAGTCGCTTTCAATATTACCCCACCAAGGTCGGTTAACATGTTGTTTGGGACATGGCTAACTAGGGTAGAGCCCGGGTTAGCAAAACATATTCGCTTGGGGGTTTGCGCTTTTTTGTGGGCGCTTTGGAATTGCAGAAATGACTTCGTCTTTAACAGATCAATAAATATCCATGTTTTGCAGGTTATCTTCCGTGCAACGGCTCTTATCCGTTCCTGGTCGCTACTCACTCCGACGGAGGCCAGGGAGCTTTTGGTTACTGCTGCTATCCGATGGGAGATGGTAGCTCGGGATATATTCAGCCGGTTTGGATGGCGGTCGTGTAACAGGATAGGCAATTAGTTTACCTGTCTATTTTGGAGCCAAACGGCTGTGATGTATAAGTGCTTTGGCTAGCTTGTGTATATAGCCTTCGGGCTCTGTGTGAGCCTTTTCTTACTTTTCTTGTTGACAACCTTGAGACTTCGAGACTTTGTGGACTATTTTATGCTTAATAAGATGGCCGTATGCATCATGCTGATGCAGAGGCCGGGGAAGCCCCCCTTTTCGAGAAAAAAAAAAGCTGCCACTCAGCGTCCCGAACCACTCCACACATCTTTCCTTTCCATATGCCACCACTATATAAACAGGACCATGCCCGCCTCATTTCACCACCCACAACAAGAGAAGCAGAAGCCAGCAAATACAAGCTAGAAGCTCTCTTATCTCATCACTTGCAACGTAGTGCAAGGCAAAGTAGTTTTTCTGCATTGATAATCCATGGCGACCTCCATGGTTTGCCTGGTTGCGCTCTGCCTCGTGTCTCCGCTGCTCCTCGCCGGCGCCGTCCTCGGCAACCCGGGCTACGGCGGTTTGTTTCCACAGTTCTACGATCACTCGTGCCCCAAGGCAAAGGAGATCGTGCATTCCATTGTGGCGCAGGCCGTGGCCAGGGAGACCAGGATGGCGGCGTCCCTCGTCAGGCTGCATTTCCATGACTGCTTTGTCAAGGTATATCTGCTCTACTCAATTCCTCTAGGCTGTAGCAGTGTTCATTCTTTTTACATGCGTAGCAGTGTTCTTTACATTTCATGCTTCAACAAAGCTACGACGATATGTGCTGTACCTATATAGTTTTTACTTTGCATCTTATCTTATTTATTACTAGTTGTTTCTGCATTTAATTGTTCGAACTCATTGCTCAACATGAAGAGCTTTAACCTACAATTTTCCTTGCTATATTTGGACTTTATCTTATTTAACCATCATTTTTCCCACAATATATATGTCTTGTCATCCGGTGGCTTTACACCGGTTTTATGTTCTAAAAGCTTCTCGCTAACCAATGAAAATAATGAGCCGTTTGCCTCATTAAAAGAACATCTTCCAACAATATCTTTTTTTTCCTTTGAGTGTAGGGTTGCGACGCTTCTGTCCTGCTGGACAACAGCACAAACATTGTGAGTGAGAAGGGGTCCAACCCCAATAAGAACTCCATCAGGGGGTTCGAGGTCGTCGATGAGATCAAGGTCGCCCTTGAGACCGCCTGCCCCGGCACCGTCTCCTGCGCCGACATCCTCGCTCTCGCCGCACGCGACTCCACCATCCTCCTAAGTAACAACACTAGTAATTCTGCTTAGAAACATGAAGGAACAAAGGATAGAGTGAAAATGAACAACAACAAAAAATCATGCGTCTGATTCTTTGGGGTCCAAACAAAACTGCAGGTCGGTGGCCCTTACTGGGATGTGCCACTCGGGCGGAGGGACTCTCTAGGCGCGAGCATCCAGGGCTCCAACAATGACATCCCAGCACCAAACAACACCCTTCCCACCATCATCACCAAGTTCAAGCGCCTCGGCCTCAACATCGTCGACGTTGTCGCCCTCTCAGGTGGCCACACCATCGGCTTGTCCCGCTGCACCAGCTTCAGGCAGAGGTTGTACAACCAGTCCGGCAACGGCCTCGCCGACAGCACGCTGGACGTGTCCTACGCGGCTCAGCTGAGGCAGGGGTGCCCACGCTCTGGTGGCGATGACAACCTCTTCCCGCTCGACATCGTCACCTCCACCAAGTTCGACAACTTCTACTTCAAGAACATCCTTGCCGGCAGGGGCCTTCTCAGCTCGGACGAGGTCCTGCTCACCAAGAGCGCCGAGACGGCGGCGCTCGTGAAGGCGTATGCAAATGATGTGCATCTCTTCTTCCAGCACTTCGCCCAGTCAATGGTGAACATGGGCAACATCTCGCCACTCACTGGGTCACAAGGGGAGATCAGGAAGAACTGCAGGAGGCTCAACAATTTCCACTGAGTTGCTAAAAGAATGATGCTTGATTTGTGTGTTGAACTGTATTTGGAGTTTGTGCATTTATTTTTAATAAGCAAGGGAGCCTTAGATGATGCCCTGTGAGCTCTTGCTGAAAATCTTTCACACCCCTTGTAAGTGACCGACCCAAGATTTCCAAAAATGATGTTTGGTCTAATCCAGGATGCTACAGACAATGGTTCTAACATGTCATTGTTTGAACATAAAAAATGACAAGTTTGAATTCCATCATATCTTTTGGACTGGGAGTCTAATTTATATTTCGCTTGCATATTTATGTTCCTTGCGACAAAGGCTTTCAAACAATACCACTCTTGAATACATTTTGACAAGTTTTACAATTTTACCATGTTTCAAATATTAAAACTTGTTGTTCACCTCCACCGGAAAGCCCTTACCGTTGACTGCCTTGTTCGGTGGGAGACCTCATGAAGAGGTATGCGCACTTTGCTCCATGGAATTCGAGTCCAATGAGCACTTCGTGCCGGCTGCTACTTCATTCACGGAGTTTGGGGCATTGTTGCCGTTTGGCTATCTATTACTCACAATTTTGCCCCGAATTTCTCTTCCCACGAGGAATGGTGGAACTTGAATCGGAAAGGAGAAAAAATTAGGCAAGGTCGTCATGTATATTTTTTGAAATGTGTGTAACAGTGTAAGGACTATGACAAAGAGAAGAGGGGGCAGCGGGTCACGTTGCCGCAGCCCCCTCACATGTTTGATCCGGGCACCGGAAATTTCTTTTTTCTCAAGAGTACGCCAATGACGTACCGTATTTTTATAGAAGGGAGAAATATAGTTTACAAGAAATCGTAACAGATGTGAGCATCGTCATGGATACACCAACTCCAACCGGAAAAAGAAGAACCTACTCTCTCACAAATCGGGCACCGGAAAATTCATTGAGAAACATCCTTAAAGTGGATGTCGATAGGAGGGCGGCGACCCAGTTGCAAAAATCTAGGGTTCCCTTTTGCAAAATATTAAAAATGTTGCCCCACGTCCAGGGTGCGGTGGCTCACTGTAACAGTGTAACAGGTAACAACATGTAGGCATGCACGTTGTTTCCTTGAAGAAGAGTTGATTCACGAGTCCTTCCGGGAACTAACCTGCTCCTGGCGACATGTACGTAGGCCAAGCGTGCGTGTCCCGTGTCATCCAGAGTTGGTACATCATCCACTTTGACCGACCGGATTCGGTACGCGAGTCCGGACAAGGTGTAGGTTGAATGGTCGATCGATCACCCCAGCAAAAAAATAAGAAAACCCGCCATGCCAACATAGTCATGCATGCACTACACGGAGCTGCATTAATCAATAACGCGGACCGCGCGTCCAACCTGTAAGTAACCATATTTGCTTATAACAAAAAGTGGCAGCATTAGTTTGGAAGCAAAAACCTCTACTTTTCAGCTCAAAAAACCTCTACTTTTGCCTATACGCGCCTACTTTCTTATCAATGATTTCTGATTAATTACCTTTGTATTGCCACGTTCTGCTCGTTGCTAGTTAAATATGGTTGGAGAGTTAAAGTGAGACCTCTCACGACTCCCCTGGGGTCTATTGCATGATCCAACCTACGCTTACGGAAGGTTCATCTTGGAGACGCTCCATTGTGGCTAGTCTAAAAAAATAAGACTAGCAGCATGCAGTCATAAGCCTTGGCTTGGGAGCAAGTTTTGAAGACTTGGGAGTTGCTTGATGGCAGAATTATTGCTGAAGCAGTTGACAACAGTGCCTAGCTACTCGATATGCCTAACAACCCTGCCGGCTGCTGCACCTCACCGTGTCGGCGGCTCCTCTGCTCCAAACCACTCCTCTTCGCTTCCATCCATCCCCATGCCTGCTATAAAAACCCACTCCATCTTCACTTCATCTCACCACCCACCCACAACAAGAGAAGTGCAGGAGCACACAAGCAGCAGCTAGCTACCAGCTCTCTTCTCAACGTAGTGCAAAGCATACATCCATCAATGGCGACCTCCATGGTTTGCCTGGTTGCGCTCTGCCTCCTGTCTCCGTTGCTCCTCGCCGGCGCCGTGGTCGGCAACCCGGGTTACGGCGGCCTGTTCCCGCAGTTCTACGACCACTCGTGCCCCAAGGCCAAAGAGATGGTGCACTCCATCGTGGCGCAGGCCGTGGCCAGGGAGACCAGGATGGCCGCCTCCCTCGTCAGGCTGCATTTCCATGACTGCTTCGTCAAGGTACCTCCATACTTTGAGCACCATAAGATGCGCCTTTTATTTGCTAACTTAAACTAGCTGTTGGAACACATAGCTCAACGTCCAAATTTTCACCTATTGGTATAGGAAAAGTTATCCTCATTCCTCAGCAGCATGGAAGAATCTGTACTGCGGGTTTTAGGCTTACTGTTAAACGCTGATTAAGCTATATCCTACTACCAACGTAGCGCATGTGGGTAGTGCACTGTTTTTTTGTCTGGGTGGCATTATCGATACCATGATTGCTCCCTTCTTCTTTCCAAAGAGAGAGTGATTGATTAATCCAATGTACAATAATGCTGCCTCTGTGGAATGTTCTTGTCACAAATATGTCTCTCTTCCTTTTTCTAGGGCTGCGACGCGTCCGTGCTGCTGGACAACAGCACCAACATCGTCAGCGAGAAAGGGTCCAACCCCAACAGAAACTCCATCAGGGGGTTCGAGGTCGTCGACCAGATCAAGGTGGCCCTCGAGACCGCCTGCCCCGGCACCGTCTCCTGCGCTGACATCCTCGCCCTCGCAGCCCGCGATTCCACCATCCTCGTATGTTCGCCACCTTTCCTCTCCTCGCACAAGTCGACCAACCCAGCCAGCATGTGTGACTCTTTGACCCTGATCAAACTGCAGGTCGGTGGCCCGTACTGGGAGGTGCCGCTCGGGCGGAGGGACTCCCTGGGCGCGAGCATCCAGGGCTCCAACAACGACATCCCGGCACCCAACAACACCCTCCCTACCATCATCACCAAGTTCAAGCGCCTGGGCCTCAACGTCGTGGACGTCGTCGCGCTCTCGGGCGGCCACACCATCGGCCTGTGCCGCTGCACCAGCTTCCGGCAGAGGCTGTACAACCAGTCGGGCAACGGCCTCGCCGACAGCACGCTGGACGTGTCCTTCGCAGCGCACCTGAGGCAGGGCTGCCCCCGCTCCGGCGGCGACAACAACCTCTTCCCGCTCGACGCCGTCAGCTCCACCAAGTTCGACAACTTCTACTTCAAGAACATCCTCGCCGGCAGGGGCCTCCTGAGCTCCGACGAGGTGCTGCTGACCAAGAGCGCCGAGACGGCGGCGCTGGTGAAGGCGTACGCCGACGACGTGCACCTCTTCTTCCAGCACTTTGCCCAGTCAATGGTGAACATGGGCAACATCTCGCCGCTCACCGGGTCCAAGGGGGAGATCAGGAAGAACTGCAGGAGGCTCAACAACTACCACTGAGTGTTTGGACTTGTGTGGTTGTAGACTTGTAGTCTGGGAGCCCCAGATGGTGTTTTGTGACGAACGAACTCTAGATTTCTGCAAGGGATGCTATGTAAGAGAAAGAGAGAAGTATGTGGTACCAATGATGAAATGACAAATTGTTTTTTTTTACATCATCTTAAAATATTTGATCCTTTTCGAAAAATAAATCTTACAATATTTAAGATTATATCGATAATTCATTTCTGAGCCCAGACTCATTTGCACCTGCGCTGACAAAAAAATTTCAAAACAAATACTAGAAAAATTCAAAAAAATTCAAATTTTTTGTGTGGTAGATAATTTGATGCGTGAGGTTCGTTCCAATTTTCAAACCATTTCGACATCTGAGTAGCTCTCAACAAAAAAAACAAATTTGGGGTCTGTAAAAAAGTTTACTGTTCATGCACGGTTCTGACCTGATTTGTCTTTTTTGGTGAGAGCTACTCAGATATTCAAATGATCTGAAAATTGGAGCGAACCTCGTGCATCAAATTATCTACTACACAAAAAAATAGAATTTTTTTTCTTTTGAAATTTTTTTGCCCGGGTGCAGATGAGCCTGGGCACCGAAACGCCGCACTCAGAATATATATACTAGTACCATAATAAGCCATACAAGTTGCTACTCCCTCTGTTCACTTTTGCGACACGTTTTAGACAGAGGGAGTAATATAAGTCGTTGTAGATCACTGTAGAGTAGGTTCTTCTGTGTTGCATACTAGAAATTTGGGCAAAATAATTTAGTAACCACTTTCTAATGTGGGTCCACACATATCATTTTCTTCGTTACGAGCTGCATGTAAGATACTCAGCACTGCGGAACGTAATCCTCGTAACAAACTTGCTTTGAATATTTCCCTAGGAAAAAAGAAAGCTTGCTTTGAACATTGTTGGATAATAAATGATAAACGATGAGAACAATATTATAGCTCCCCATCAACAGTCCAAATAGCAATACACAAGCTCTTCAAGATGAACAGCATTGACAGTATGTAATTTTCTTCAGTTTTAATCGATATATAGGTCAAATCCAATGGTCTAGGAAAAAATCAATATTGCTCGACATGGGAGAAATTACAAATAGCAAAAAAAAAACTCAAAAATTAGCAAAAAGATGTTTGCATTAGAGTGAGTCCGTGCTATTGTTTTTTTTTTCTCGAATACGCTAAGCAGTGTATCATTGCATTGATAGAGGGAAAGAAGCAATTACAAGGGTGGATGCCGTGGCCTCGTACACACGAATGGCGAGCCCGCGACACCCGGTGGAGCAGAAGGAATGGGGTTGCTCAGCCCCAAACAAGCTACGGGCTTAGGTTACAAGCGTTTGTGTGTTCATCCCTCGAACTCCTGCCGCGGCCTTGGCGCGAGCTTCGTCTTTGATTGCCTGAATAAGAGCAAGGGCAGACGGTGTGATCTTGTCAAAGATGGCGGCGTTCCGGTGATGCCAGATCGACCAGGCCGTGAGCGCTGCAATAGTGGCTAGTCTTCGTCGCCGAGATGTCGGGGTGAGCAAAAGAGCCGAGGAGAGCCAGTTGAAGTAGTCGACGGAGCCGTCCGGAGCTAGGGTCGTCGGGGTTTCGTGCCAGGTAATACGCGCAAAAACGCAGCCCACAAGATGTGGTGCAGTGTCTCGTACTAGTAGCTAACTTTGTTTTCGTCTCCTACATACCCTTGTGAATTATTGGTCTTAACTCTCCCAAGAAGCCGCGCCGTCGGAAGCAGGCAGAGCAGAGCACACGCCGGCCAGTATAACCAGAATTTCCGGCGCGCCCTTTAATGCCGGACAGTCAGACACGGCTTGTTTCTTCTACTAGTAGTACCCCCCCACATGTCGTCCTATCAGCACGTCAATGCAAGTCCAGGCCTTACCTAACCTCAGTTCGTCCTGGCTGAGGTGACATGCACGCACATGATAACATTAACAATTTACTACGTGCTCCTTTGGCATATATTGCCATGCAATTCAATGTCTCCTCAAAATTACTTTTTTCTTTGTAGGGTATCCTCAAAATTACTTGATACGCTTTTCCTTCCACTTGTCCCATCGACCAAGGATCATTTGGAGTAGTAGGTGCAGCTGATACCATCATTCTGCATTCATTATAACCGGTATGATTAAGATAAACTAGGTGGAGCAGATGCGTTAACACTTTCTCTTCCCAACAAAGCAAAAACTCTAATGAATGCTGCCCGTGCACAAACCATATCCATATAGTACTAAAGAAACAATTGCCGTCGCTCTCCATTTGGAACCAGACCAATCATAGGAGAAAGTAGGCGATGGTTTAGAGCATGAGATAGTGGAAAATGATCAAGGAACTAAAACAAAAGCTATCTCTAGATCAGGTGCACCTGAAGCACATACATGGTTCCTAATCTTACCACGAGTGGAGTGGATGGAACGATGCATGCGGTCGAACTTGAATCACATTAGTATGTACTAGTTCTATAAAATGGAAGCAGTGTGCAAGAACCAAATCACAGCAGCATTGCATCAAAGGCTCAAAGCTCATGGATTCATCCAAGAGATGCCTTGCTGCGATCCTCCTTGCCTCTTTCTACTTCTCAGCCTCTCTTGCCTTCTTCCCTACTCACAACCATGAGGGTGCCCATCCAATTGGACACAGTCCAAAGCCAGGCCTTTCTCCACATTTCTACAGGTCCACATGCCCGCAAGCTGATGAGATTGTAGTCTCCGTCTTGAAGAAGGCGATTGCCAAGGAACCGCGCATCGCCGCGTCCCTTCTCAGGCTCCTTTTCCATGACTGCTTTGTCCAGGTAATTATTACTATTAAGCACGGTTCAAATGCACATCAACTAGTAAACAACATTCCTACAACCACAATGTTCACCATAAGTTTAAATTGTGCATTTCCTTGATAACCCGGAACACCGTGATTTGAGCTACTACTACAACCAGTCATGGTTAGTTCAGCTATTATAGATAAGGAAAAACATTTTCGTCAAATTTCAGGGTTGCGATGCATCAGTTCTGCTTGATGACAGCAAGGCAGTGGCAAGCGAGAAAAACGCTCTTCCCAACAAGAATTCTATTAGAGGATTTGAAGTCATAGATGAGATTAAAGCTGCACTGGAAGAAGCATGCCCACACACAATCTCTTGTGCTGATACTATTGCCCTAGCTGCCAGAGGTTCAACAGTATTGGTAAGTATCTGCTTTTTACATGTTATATAAACATGTGCTCATTTACTAAAGAAATAATATAAACCTTGCTAGACTGCTTCTGTAGTGAGGGAAATAGAGAATTTCTCAAAGGAACTACTTTACGTTATCGTATTTAAGAGGAATAGAAGACTGAAAAGTACTGATGTATAGTGGGGGGAAACAGAGAATTTCTCAAAGGAACTACTTTATGTTATCGTATTTAAGAGGAACAGAAGACTGAAAACTACTGATGTATAGTGGGGGGAAACAGAAAATTTCTCAAAGGAACTACTTTATGTTATCATATTTAAGAGGAATAGAAGACTGAAAACTACTGATGTCCTCAATTAAATGTGTGGTTGTGATGTTGTTACACATATTTGATATGACAGAGTGGTGGACCATACTGGGAACTCTCGCTGGGAAGGAGGGATTCAAAGACAGCATATATGAAGCTAGCAAATAAGAACCTGCCTCCACCCAATGCAACACTGCATCGTCTTGTAAAATTCTTCGGAAGGCAAGGACTGGATAAAAGGGACCTTGTAGCACTATCAGGTATATCACCTTTCCAATGTTCGAAGTACTCCACATTGAGGTAAAGTCATAAAATAAAAAGGTTTGTTAGGGAAGTCAAATAGCCTAGAAATGGCATGGTTGTGCACTGGCTTCCTGTCATAAACTTAAGCTTGAGATAACAGTAAGAAAAAACATGCAGTAGATAAACAAAAGGGCATAAAGTTGTAAGTAATGTATCTGCTGGAAAGAGATGACTGGAACAACATAAAAGTAGATCATATAATCATATTAGGTGTTCCAGTTAGATCAGCGTTGCAGGCCTTGAAACCAGCAGTGCAACTTCAAATTTAACACCACAAAAATACTTGATACCGCTGGCCAAGTATCGGGTCAGCATATTCTCATATCAATGACACCTTCCATCTTGCTGCATTCCAACAGGTAGCCACACCATTGGAATGGCCAGATGTGTTAGTTTCAAACAACGGCTCTACAATCAGCATAGAGATAACAAACCGGACATGACACTGGAGAAAAGGTTCTATCACAAACTGGCATCAGTCTGCCCACGCACCGGAGGTGATAACAACATCAGCCCGCTAGACTTTGCCAGCCCTCCGAAATTCGACAACAGCTATTACAAGTTGATAGTGGAGGGAAGAGGCCTTCTTAATTCAGATCAGGTTTTGTGGACCGGAAAAGACCCAGAAATAGCACACCTGGTCAAAAGTTATGCAGAAAATGAGTCCTTGTTTTTTGAACACTACGTGAACTCGATAATCAAGATGGGGAACACAAATCCCCTCTTGGGTTCTGACGGAGAAATCCGTATGAACTGCCGCAGGGTTAATCATGTTCGCTAGTCAACAAGTTCAATGGGTTCCTTTGCTTGTGATCTCCACAGTTTGTCATTTAAATGTCATCCTGCTAATGTTCGGTGACATAGTTTGAAATGTGGCTTCAGATTGATTTTTCATTCAGAAATGTAATTTTATTCCTTTCAATGAAAGATATCTCATCTTCTTTTGCTCTGAAACATTTGGTTTCTTTCGATGGAAGATGCAAAGAAGAAAACTCGGAGAGCTGATTTCAGATGCAGTTACATATATACAAGAAAAAGATATTAAATAAAGACCAAGTAAAATGAGTAAAAAGTGCAAACCTACAAGACAAATTCCACAAAACTAAGCATGGCTCATATTGTCCCATATCTTCCATCATTTGTCCTCTGTGCTGCTGGTGTGGTAACAGAAGTGTTCTCCCATGATACTTGGCTTGAATGATTTCCACTAGGATCACCTGCTCTCAGGTAGCCTCTTGGTCTTCCAACCTGATGAATGGTTATTAGGTTACAAAGTACTCCCTCTGTTCACAAATATATAAGATGTTCTAACTTTTTTGTGAATCGGATGTATATAGACACGTTTTAGTGAATTAAAAAATGCATTGGAAAAGTGCAAGGCACCATCTCTCTCCTCTTTAATTAACCAACCTCCAATGAGCTAAGTGCATGTAGAAAGTAAGAAGACCATGTGTAGATTGCTATTGGTCTTGAATACCGTGTGATGAGAGAGAAGTATTCTTTTTCTACTTTAAAGTGCATTGGGAAGATAGAAGTACACTCTTTTGTGGACAAATTTTGAAGCCAAACGAACACTCCTTAGGCTGGTTGTAATGGGGGATATCATATACTAGTATCATGCATATGATACTAGTGTATGATACTACCTCCCTAGTGTGTGGTATCATATATTAGTATCATGTAGTACTTTATTTATTGCCATGCGTGACACATACTAGCCTAGCATTTATTATGATACAGTATCATGATATGATACTCAACTCTCTCTTTCTTCATTTAATTCTATGACACATCATCAAATTTGCCTAGTTGGCATGCATGATACTAGCTATGATACTCCCATTACAACCAGCCTTACCGGACGGAGGGAGTAAGTAAACTAGCATGTGTTAAGCTTCATGCACTAGCCAACGCAACCAAAAGTCCGAGCTGATGGAAAGGGCTAGTGCAATCCAC